AACTTCAATACACTATGATATCAGAAAACATTTTGAATATGCATCCAAAGCTGAGCTTGTTTTATGCAAATCCATCCACTGAGAGTTAATTGAGGATTTGACAATGTTCACATAACCCTCAACTTGTTGTAGGGTTATGAAAGGGTTGTTGAAACCTCAAATAACCTCCAGTGGCTGGGTTTATATGACATAGCAAGTGTCACTTGGGGTTGCCTATTCAAAGCATTACTCAGAATGTGCTGTGGCTCATAGGTCAAATACCTGTGGTGAGCTGGCTGAGTTATGTGATCTGATATTTCAACCTTTCTGTACCTGTTCAGCATTTCTTGAAATTAATGGCAGATCACTTTAATGTCATAGCAGAGCTATGTTAGCAGGGGAACCAGAGCCCTCTGCCTGTCATAAGCTTAGTTGCTATGATGTCATGGCCCTATCATTTCAAACTCTGCATCACACAATTCTATCTTGTATGTAATTTGCTATGAGTTTTTGAAAACTTTGTGAATGTAGATTGAATAGTAACAAAACATCATTCAAGATGGCAGACAAGATCTGTTGCTTTTATGATAGGTATATGGACTTGCTGAAGCAGTACAAGAGAATTCAGGTTGCAACATCCTAAAAGCTATCCTCGTTGTGTGTGGGTCATAGAATATAATGCTTGCTGTCATCACAGGGTATCATTGCACCAATCCTCACTTGGGATCAAGTTTGGACCTTTATGGAGGGCACAGAAATAAAGGGTAGCAACTCGCCCATCCTTGAATGGGCTGTTCTTGTCCAGTATTTCACTTGTGTGTCACTCCTCGTGGCTTGATACTACTAGTGTCACTGGGCTGAAAAGAAAGGGCATGGAGGCATGCAGAAGAATAGAAAATATATTGGTCTTGACCATCTTTCAGGGTTATAAAAAGAATGGACAGTCAAACTTTAGGTTTCTCTCACATACTTTCCTTGAATAATTCATTCCTCCAGGTGTATGTTTAAGTGTATTTTTGTGTGGCTGTTACAGCTTAAGACTGGTTGCAGTTACCAAGGTGAAACTTGTACTTTAGTCCATGTGTGTTGGTTGTTGCACTGCAAATTCCAACATCCCTCATCACTGGCTGTAGTGGCTGACTGCAGTTGCAACCAACAACTTCTGGAGGGCTATATGCTCCCCATCTCTTGGCTACAGTTGTAGAAATAAGATATTAAACTGTGAAGGGGCTATTTTTATTATTTGAATGAAAGAAGATAGACACGCTAATATATAATGAGTCTTTAAGACAAGACAGAAGACAGAGTCTCATTTTGTTTTCTAATATGCTTCAAAAAGTAATACGTTTGTTATTTTACCACTCCAGTTTTCAAGATAACAAATCTAAATAATAAGTATAGTATTTCCCATCTGGTAGCCGTGTTGCTCCAAGAATGGCTCAGATATGTGAGATACTGAGCTATTATGAGTGCCAAGCACCATAAAAAGTATTTCTATGAAATCCTATATTGTGTATAGGCTACCAGTGTGGTTGGGTCTTAAATGTGACAATCACAGATGATTAACTCAACAAATCTAAGAATTCTACACTACAGCTTTGTTTTTCAGGAGATGTGTTACTCCTGTTAATCTATGAATTATAGCAGCTGTCTAGTTAGATATGCTTCAAAACATAATAGCCCTTCTATTACATATGTGGTGAAGCAAAGGTCTCAGTGGACACTTTCATTTTACACTGCTATAAAAAAAACTAAGATGCATTCATAAAATGCAATGAACTCAAGGGAATTCTGGTTGCAATATTAAGGCCATAAATAAGATTAAAACTGGTGTACTATCATGTAAGAGGGATTCTCTTAGTTACGTACATACAGAACCAATTTGTAAGATTTTGACAGTCAGCATAGCAGTACTCTGAAAAACCCATTAGTGGCCATATAATGCTTATATGCACATAACAGTTGCATTGTACTCATTTTAGTGGGCAGAATGTATTTCTTTAAAGATAGGTTTATCAATCTTCAAGCTATAGATGTAGGAAAACTGAAAAAAGGGTCTCAATCTTCACATATTCCTCATTTTAAACAACTGAAGCTCAGAATGACAATACTGACAGCTAGTTCTTTGCTGCCTCACGTTCTTTATATAATGAAATTTCATAGGTCATATTCCATCTATTGTCTTTTCCATGCTGATTATATTCCTTTATTCTCACTATAGTCAAGTATGTTCTCTGTACTAAAAGACTGGAGTATTAAAAAAACAAACAAACCAATTCTGACATTGTATTTAAATGGCATTGATAATTATACTTTTGTATATTTATTTATTTAAAACATTTGTATGCCACCCCCATCGCAACAAAGCCTCGGGGCAGCTCACAAATATATATTTGTGTGCACATACTTTGTATTTACAGACACATTCAAAATGGGACACAGAGTTATACTGGGTAAAAGATGATAACCCTTTTCTATGAATGACAGACTCCTACCACCAAAACGACATAATACAGCTGATTGCTCCCAACTGGAATAAACTGAAGTAAGTGCACAACTAGAGGGTGTAAGTAGACAGGATGGTGGCAGGACTGAAACCTGAATCTTTATAGTTGGGTAGATAATTTTGAGTGGAAAAGTTAACAGGGAGCACTTGAAGCTTCACTATGCCTGCACTTTTGAAATACCATTTTTCCCTTGCAGAAATTACCACAAGTTTTTGGACCCTTCCATGAGAGAAAATAAAATTTTAAAAAAGGCCATTTGGGTGAAAGAATAAACAGAGGTGGCTTCAGTACAAACAGCAAGTCTCATGCAAGTTCATGTGGATCTAAAATGATTTTGCCTTTATTTTTAAGAACATCCATCTGTGAGGCAACATATAGAAAATAAATTTGCTAATTTAATTAAGGAATCTAATCTTTTAAAAATATTTTAAAATTTATTTTATTGTGAATTTCAAGACAACCATTAAAAAGTAAAAGAATGAAAATATATGCATACATTTTAATAAATTTCAATAAATTCAATTAAGATAGGGATGTGTGTGTGGACATACATGCTGTGAAAACACAGCAGTTGAAGAAAATAGTTATACACAAACTATAAGACAGACTAAACCTGATCCTGGAGAGGTAGTTTGTCCTGAACTGTCAACTAGTGACAGTTTTGGGATGAAGACAACAAACTGAAATAATGTGTGAAGGGAAACCGACTCATCTCAGAAGAGGCTTACATTGAGCTCTAGATTGCACTTGGCCATAACCAGACATGTTCAGGTAGCAACAGTGACCTAGAATACTTTTTGTCGGGCTTATTGTTATACAGGATGGCGCAGCAAAACAGGAAATTTTCAAATGCCATTCAATGCACAAATAAGCATATTACGGAATACATTTTACGATGAAATGTATTCTACAGGATATACAATTAATGATGATAATATTCATTCAATATTCATTTTATGTATTGAAGATAACATTATGAAGGTGTTGTCCATTTCTCTGTACATATTCTGACAGCCTGTTGTGGAAATTCTGTATTGCTTGACATAACATGTCAAGAGGAAAGCCAGCAATTTCCTCTTCAATCCTCCTTTTTAGTTCAGCAAAGGTTGCAGAACGTGTGCAGTACACTTGGCTTTTAAACAAATGCTGATGCCCCAGGGTCGTCAACTCCTAGTTCCGTAATTTCCCATTTCTCTGCACCACCCTGTAATCATATGTGAACCTATCTGGAAACCTTTCCTCAGCTATCCACTCTCCAGTAATATCCAGGCTGGATTATTGTAATGTGGTATATACTTTGAAAATTCAAGTGGTGCAGAATACAGCCACCTGTTTTCACTGGCCTTAAGTCTAGCCCATTTGTTATTATTGGTAGGCTTTCCTTTTAATTGATTTTAAAAATTGCATCTAATTTGTGTTGTTTCTATCTTGTAAGCTGCCTTGAAATGGTTTCACCAGTAAAGGCAGGTTAGAAATAATCTAGATTTGTGGGTCATTTTTCTTAACAACTAACCTACTAAACTAATGAGTCAACACCTTGAGTAATATTAAAAATTAATTAGAGGCTAAGAATTAATACAAACCACATCATTATCAGGACAAAACACTGATTAGAGAACAGAAGAAAAACAGCTGATGAAAATCTATAAATCTTGACATCAAGGTCTCCGGAACAGAGACAGTTGTGGACAAAGTTCTATGACTAATGACAATCAAGGAAATGTGTGCAATGATCAAGACAATGTGACAAATATTCTAATTTGCACTGAAAAAAAGCTGGGCAAAGAAAATTATACTAGACACAGATCTCAATATGCATTCACACAGATCCTCATCTTCTTACCAACAATGTATCAGTGCAACTCTCTATGCACATGGTGACTGCATTCAGATATCACATTAAACCTGATTTTTCAAAAATCTAGCAAGTCAATATGCTAGTGCTTACAGCATAATCAGATTAGCTTGGCTCCTCATACTAGTGGGAGTGTCTACAAAAGCTAGCAACTCACTGTCCCTGGCTTTGTTACAGTGATGTCCAAACAAGGAATTCTGACTTGTCTCTGTTACAACTCTGTCTTGTGAGGAAAAACAAGCCAGAGTTTCTTGTTTGGACATCACACTAACCAGGCCAAAGACAGAAAGTGCCTGGTTTTTAGCTGTTCCTGCTGTCAAAAGACAAGCAGGGATGATCAAGCATGCTGGCTTGGTCACTGTACTGTGATATTTAAAAGAAGCCTATGTAATTTCCTCTTTACTGCAACATCCCATCTATAAGCAACTTATTTTACTAGATGAGAAATGAATACATCAATAAAAGTGAAACATACACTTGGAGTAATTGAAAAGGTTTTACAAGGAACAAGTAATGAAGAATGAGTAGAGCTACGATATTTGTGATTCAGGAACACGCATCCTATGGCTTGGTAATATTCCAGAAGAAATTGTATATTACTTATATAAGGATACACTGTTGGGAATATTGCTGGGAATTTCATCTTCAAGATAACTTACCATCAGAACTTGTGAGTACAAAGTTCTCCACTTGGGTTTGTCTTTTTCCACTTAAACTTTTGGGAAACCAGTGAAGATCTATGGGGTAGATATCATCAGGAAGCTTCACTACTTGTGTTGTCTCACCATTTAACAAATTCCATTTCATAATGTGGTGATCATCACTGCATGAATAGAGCTCATCTGCTGTTGTCCAGCCTACACAACTAACCAATTCCTTATGTTTTAACAGAATTAAGGAACTCTAGCCCTAGTACAGTTGAATCACACATATTTGCAAAAAGTTATATGAAGGCTCTCTTTTCATATATCAAGAAATTAAGAAGCAGGAAACAAGTATTTGTAATTGAATGGAGTTCTGAGATGCATGAAATATTGGCTCTGAATTTCTAAAGGATTCTTAACTATTTAATTTGCATATGGCACATAGTCTTAGATACAGTTTAAATGGATAGATGCAAGCTAGAATTCAATGCATAGCCTTCTCCTAACTTGTGGGTGAATTCCTTTTCCTCTTCTTGGTTTGGAAGAACAAGAATTTCCTGCGGTACCAAAATCAGACACATTATGATTATTGCTAATCAGGAATAATCTGCAGATCATTATTTGAAACCAAGGTTTACAGGCAATCCTTACGCTGATCCCAGCTTACCCAATTCAGCCATCATAGGAAACTACAAATACTACAAATCAGAAAGGGGATTGTTTGGAGGATCAGAATGACATGTTTTAATTGTGCCTTTGATTTGAAATACTGTTGGAATAGGTGGACTGACTACATTTCCAATTCCTTACAAAGAAATTCTATCCATGTTTAGTTGAAAATACATCCTAATGAGTCAAATGGAGCATATTCCTTAGGAAGGGTATTTAGGATTTCATCTTAAATTTATTATCCTCTACATGTCCAGTTGCATGTAAAGGAACTACAGACAATCTAACATTGGAATATAGCAAGATCAAATATATCTGAAAGATGTGTATTTTCCTTAGTATTTTCATTTCTAACTTACAGAATCTGGTTTTGAGGTTTACTGCACCTGTGACTTCAAGGGAAACTGCTTAACTACTTTTCAACGTGTTCTTTTGTATGCTGGCTAAGGTGAACTTGCTGAAAGCAATCTTCAACTGAAATCTGGTAGGTTCTAGGCCACTAGAAAGTCAGTAAACTTTATCAATATCTGTAGATAGCCTTTGTCTACTACATAAGAACAATTTTTACCCTGTGACAAGTGATTCTTTTCTTTCCCACTTTCTGAAAGAAAAAAAATATTTGATGTGATTGCTAAACACATCATGTTAATTTGAAAATTACATGACTGATCTTTGGCTATAATTGTTATTTCATTCCCATGATCTTGCACATAGTACATCACAAGTAGGATGCAACAGTACTTAACAGAATGGGCAAAACATAGCCCCTGGGCTGCATACTCTCCATCAATGAACTTGCTGCTGAAACTTGGTAGCACAATGGTCACAAAAAACCAGTTTAAAACATAGCATGTAGGAAGTGTGGAAACCTTGTTTTGATGCAAAATTGCAGTCCTGGAAGTTCTGGGGACTGTGTTCCTGTTCTAAGACAAGGCATGCCTTTACCATAAACCTTATTTTAAATTATTTCAAATAACACCACAGCTGGGCAAAAAGAATCCTTCCTTTACACCCAACAAGCACCAGTGTCCTCTCAAATGGCCATTTCTGGTATAAGAAATAATGCTGCACTTTTGGCAGCAGTGGCAATTCTGGCACCGGCAACAGTGGGGATGTGCAGCCCCTAAAGTGTTCCGGTGAGGGGCAGCTGGACTCCATAAATTACCCAGAGCTTTCAAAGTCACTTATATAGTTGCAGATAGACCAATGGAATGGCCCTTAAATATATTTAGAAGGCAGAATGAGGGAGAAAAGAAAAAGACTGGTTGCACATGCTGCTGTCTGCTAGTCCAGCCACTGCCTACATCAACTCATTGTATTTCAAAACATTTATGATTGTACATAGTTACAAGCCTTGAAAAATACAGGGAATATTTTAGCTAAGCTTATAACATTACTTCAGATATGAACAAAGGATATGTTTTGGTTCCTTTAACAGAGATGTCTTTAATCTCATTTTATTAAGTTTTCTGATGTTGATAATCCAGTTGATTCATTGGTAGAAAGATGTCTTCTTGGTTGCAGTTTACAGCTGTAAATATTAAGAAAAAAATTACTAGCCTGTATTATAGTTAAAACATTAGTACCTTCAGGAACATTTAATTATCACGTTCCCTGGCCCAAAGTAACAAAGCAGCATGCCATAAATACACATATAAATGCAGAAAAAAATGTCTGTTTAATTCAAGAGATAATCTAGGAATGTTGGAGGACTTCTATTCTAACTCATGGCCTATAGCTAATGAAATGCATCTTGACCTACATACTGTTCATTTGTAAACTGCCCATAAACCTTTGGCTCTTTGGTGGAATAGAAATCTAATAATACAATATGCTGTATTTGCTATAAACGATTAAAAGCAGTCATTTAATATGATCCAAAAGAAGCACCTACTGGGCTACTACATGTGTTTAAAACCTGGCTCTATCGCCATATAAGTCCCAGTAAGGCCATTGAGTTCCAAAACAGGTGCCCAAAGACTGTTTTGTGATGCACGAAAGTAAACAAATTGAAATGTATTCCAAACAAGACAGTGGTCCTCTGGGTTGGGAATTCTGTTCCTCCAGATGAAGGGATGTAATCTGTACTTTCAGAATTTCTCCTGTAAGACTATGTTTCTATCCTGGGGATCCTCTTGGACTCAGCCGTATCTCTAGCACTCCAGGTGATATCTGTGGGTAAAAGTGCCTTTTACCAGCTTACAATGCCATATCACCAACAATCCTATCTAGATGAACTAGATCCTACTTTCCTTGGTGCCCTATGCTATTTCTACCCAAATTAGACTACCTCAATGTGTTGTATACTGGACTGTCTTTGAAGATGCTCCAGAAACTTCAGATGTTACAGAATGTGGCTGTTTGGATGTGTGTGACACCAAGGCTGCATCAGCTGCACTGATTTTCAGTTTGTTTCCTAAATGGTTTGCAATCAGGTAACTTGAAAGACCACCTATACCCTGTTCATAGGCCTACCTGTAAGATCAGTTCCATCAGCAGGTATGACAGGGCTTTTTCTGTGGTGACCGACAGGTTGTGGAATAACCTGTGGTACAATGATGTGTGCCTGACCTCAGTATTCAAAGAAGTTTTCAAATGGATCAGTTTTGGCTCACATCTTAATCAGGTGTTTTATGTCCCTGAAATTTATTCATTAGGTATCTTGTTAACACTGAACAACCTATGTTTAAAAAGAGTGTTGCACTGCTATCTAGTTTTATTAAAATCTGATTTTACTGCATTACAGTTTATGCTTTATTTTTGTGTGTGATACCTTCTATGGTCCTAAAAGGTGGCCTATAAATAATGGTGTAATTTAAAATAAAATGCTAATTTGTGCATGCATATTTTAAGCAATTATCCTCTCCACGCTAGCCTGGTAATTCCATCTCATACATGTAAAAAGAGGACCCGACCACGCCCCCCCCCTTATTTACTCAACATAGATAATTTGGGAAAGCTTTGGAATCATTCTTTGCTATAAATGGCGACATAACAAATGACATTTATTATCAGCAGAATGCAAAAAAAAAAAAAGAGTTTACAAAAGAGTCTGTGGAAATAATGGACTTCAGATAACTTCTTCAATAGGCATAACTCCCATTAATGCTAATTAATGGACACTTGCTTATTCAGAAGAGAATATACTATTCTTCACAACATATGCCCTCTAACCTCTTGGGATTCCTGCAACAAAGAGACTAAAACCCACCAAAGAGTTACTATGTAGAATGTTCCCCAAGTGCTTAAGCTGATACAGCCTTTGCATTAATCTACAGTGTTTATTTTCTATTTGGTTCAACTTAACTTTGAATCAAAAGTCTGAGAACAAGCAATATATTTAACCACACAGATTAGCATTGTCTTCATTTTTATGTAAAAATCTTCTACATTTCTACAAAGAGGAAACCTTGTGCTAAATGTTACAGTGAAAGCATGCATAAGACTAAACAATCTAAACAATAATATACACCTGGGGGGTGGGGGTAGTGATAACTGTAACTTTCTTTTAATAAAGAAAAGCATAAGTAGAATCAAATGCAAGTTAATTTAAAACACAGGTGTTGTTTTGGGAGTTAATGTTGTTTACATATGCTAAAAGGAGTTATTCTTTTATCTAGTTATGAGCTGTAGTTTCTAATAAGGCAGAAATTTATCTTTGGGTTATTCACTGGTTCAGTTTGTATATTACAGTAAGCCACCTAACAAAAAACTAATTAGAGGGTTATAGATGATTAGGATCACCATGGGTTTTGTCTCCCTCACCTATCTCCTCAGTTCTCCAGGAGGCATCTCAATCGCTTAGCAGCTAGAACTTGCCTGCTCATCTCCCCATTTTTTGCAGTCAAGATGGCTTTTTTATAGTCCATCCTTTCAAATAAGATTACTTCCTTGATGACCATTCAATTACAATCCCCAAAAATGTACAAAAAGAGAAACATGGTGGTTATTTATGACAGTCTATGACATAGTCCAGGTTCTTCCCTCAGCCGGGAGGGGAAAGACTTACAGAAAAGCTGGCTGATAATATAGATGACAACCAACAGAAGTACCTCATCCAGTAATTTACAAAGTATTTCTGTCCACGGCAGTTGATTATACAGTATTGTTTATGAATCTATTATAAATTGTGTTTTATTCTTATCGTTCTTCAAGGTATACAACAAAACAATTCTTTATAATAACCAACAATACTGGTTATTACAATCATCTACTGTAGCTACCCCTAATCCCCTGAACTCAGAGGAGTTCTATCTAGAATTCCTATTGGGAATCCTATTGAGTAGAAGAAATATGGAGGCAAATGTCCCTTGCACACTTCTTCCACCCTACAAAATACTTAAACAGCAAAAGCATCTCATCCCATCCCTGCAGAACTCCCACCTAACACTAGCTACAGAGGTCTGCTCTACAAGCTGCAGCTGGTATGAAAAGAACCACATCAGCTGAGAGGACAGAGGGTGTTGCAGAGTTCGGGGGTAGGAATAACTACCCCCAGCTCTAACCTTGGAGTGTGTTTCCAAAGTTGGAGCTAGAACACCAAAATATCCTTTGGTCATCCAGCAGCTGCAGGTTTATGTCTTTAATCTGTTAAACAGTGCAAACACCTTCTGAAATCACTGGCAAAGACTCTACAGATATTAAAGATCAGTCAGAGTAAATTCTATATAGAAAAATCCAATGTATATTTACTCAGGTTTGTGTTTAATAGTGCTGACTCCTATGCAAATATGCATGAGACTGTTGCCCCTGAGTGAAAAATGGAAACATTTTAACTCAATTGTTAACATGGAAATAGCATGGGAAGTTTTCTTCCTTGAAAACCTGAAAAGATAGGCAAAACTGGCTTCTTTCAGGATATCTTACATCTGAGTACTTTTTCAATCTATGGGCACAGCCATTATCACTTTTTACTCAGAAACTGAATAACTACCAGTACTGGATCCCTGTTCATAAACACTAATGCAGATAAAAAAACTCAGTTATTTCCTTGGCATGCACTGAAACAATGAAAGACTGCTCTTCGGTTTAGACTATTTAAGAACACTGACTATAAGTACAGTTTAGTTTAAGCAGGCACCAAATAACCCATCAAAACCTGGTCACAAGTCAAACAAGACCTACCTTCTCTCCATACTTGCAACAGAACAACTTGTTTGTTAGACTACACTAGAGCTGTTACCTGAAGTGGACTACATACTAGAAATACTTCGGCCACTGTGGATTTATTAATCTTTACAGAGTGACTTTTTGCTGCAACACAATAACCAGAAAGTAACCAGCATGGCCCCTCTGGAATTATTATACCCTGGTTACATACTCACACAAGTATGTGGATTTTAATCCCCATTCCACTTAAAATATATATCAAAAACATAGGAAAATATCCATCCTGTCCCTCCTTTAATAACACATAGCTAGTATGCAGTAAAGTTTAATTAAACCATAGTCAGCATTCTTGATTATAGGCCTGACTGTTCAGTGTGATTATGGGCTGTTGAATCTTCCCTAGCATAAAGACCAGCTCCCTACATTTTGCACATGTAAACAAATCATATGTTAAAAACTTCCATTGGGTTCTGTTTCTAAGTAGAATGAGTTCAGGTGATCTGGTTATGATAAAAAATATGAGTGCCTGAGGCTGAAATTAGTATCTATTTGCAAGTTCTAATTCCATATTTGATTTGAACCTGCAGAGTCAAAGAACCATTGTACATACACGATTTTTAAAAGATTTGTTTAGCGCAATTACCCATGATACAATTTATCCTGGACAGGGACTACCTCCTTCATTGAGGTTTTTATTAAAGGAGTCAAGCCTGAGCCAAGCCCTCACTTTTTGCCTGGGTAAGCCCTGTGAAGCTTTTCTCACAAGTTAAGGCCCAGGAGCTCTGCGAGTGCGGCGGTCACTCCCCAAGGGGGATTGCAACGTCAAAACGCTGGAGGCGAGATATCGTTGCTGGCCGTGGATACACTCATCTCACTACTGATCTTGGCAGACCAAGTGGAAGGTACAACTGCGTTTCAGAAATCTGTCTAGAGATGACACTGGCAATAAAGATACAACGTCTGCATACCATAAACAACCTCAAGTATCCCATCACTTTGTAACTCTAACATTCCCGAATACCTCGGAGATTCAGCCATGGAATACAACAAGCCCCCTTGGCTTAGCACTGTTGCACTATCTTCCCACCCCACCCCATTCCCACCACTTTGCTATTGTCTTTTCCTGGAGCCATCTGCCCCCCCCTTACCTGTCCAAGGTGAGTACCCAGGCAGAAAGCTCAAAACCTACCTGTGAGAAGCTCGGAGGTGTAAGAGACAAGCAGGAATCTCCCAAGAAAGGGTTCCTTATACTGTCCTAAGTTAGGTATTCACATCTCCCAATCGCTTCGTCTCAGCAGCCCTCCCGAAAGTCGGCGGAAAGCGCTCAGACCGCTTTGCTCCTCCGCTCTGTTGCCAACCGTGAGGGAAAGCCGTTCGGTCTCTATAGCTACTTCCCGCGAGATTTCCGATCCCTAACCCCCACGCAACCTTCGTCTTCCTCCTCGCGCACCCCCCCCCCGAGGTTTTGCTACTCTCCTTTCCACCTCAGACCCACCCAAAGCACGTGATGGCAGCCCTGACGTCAGAAAGCCGATCTGTCAAAAGTATAATGAATATATTAAATATTTAAATTTGTTTTCTAGTTTTGAAAGCCGGTATCTTAAATCGTTCGCTAACCTATTACATATCATATAGTTGCTAGGTAACTTATCCCGCCAGCCTGCTTTTATCCTGGGAGGAAACTCGACTACGTCCGTCCTCTTTCGTTATTTTTTATATTTTCTAATTTATTCTTTTAAGAATCCAAAAGCATTCATGGAAGGGTTCCCCCCACCTTGTTAAAAAAATGCTGAAGAAAACATGAAATGAAAACACTTAGGCACCTTTCCGCTAAATAACGGAAAACAAGATGGCGGCGCGGGGGAATTTTTCACTATTTTTTTCTCCTTTCAAACCTGTGGGAAGCCTGCCCCTTTCTTTCCCCAGCATGCTTTGCGCGTTTCTAACGAATTTCGTTAGGAGTTTGCCGTTTGGGCGCCATTTTCGAGTGTAGAAGCCGCCAAGGCTACAGGCAGGAAACGGAGCCCTTTAGAGCTCCAGCTGCGGCTGTTCGGAGACTCGCTTGGCCCGCGTTCCAGGTACCAGCTCTGCTCGTAGGTGGGGACGGAGTACTCTTTAGCGTTATTGGTAAGAGGATCTTTGGACAAGACCAGTCCTGCTTTTGGTTCACGACATATTTGCGAAGCTTCCCTCTATGATTATACCGAAGGGTGAAACTTTCTACACGGTAAATGAAATCATTAACTTTTTGTATGCGATGCGGGAGGGAATTGGTTCAGTTTAAAATGAGGGGAAAAATACACAACTTGCCCCATGAAGAAAAGGGCGGCAGGCTTAATTTTTTTTCGAACCGGTGACCGCTTCTCCTTCTCCCCCGCTTTTTCCTCTCCCCGCCACCGTGGGGGGTGGGGTGAGAGACGGTATTTGCTGGCAATTTCCGTTGCAGTCGATAAAACCAACTCGGCTCTGAAACTATGATGCTTGTACAACTTCTTCGAGGTAGGCTGTCAGAATATTAATTCTGGCTAATCGTCATTAAAAAAAATACTCGTGATTTTTCTGATGGTCTAGAAAAATTACTAGCCTTTTAATAGGTGAAGTATATGTCGCTTTTTAAAAAATGAAAAACTTAAACCTATCGCTCTAACCCGATTAAACGGTACCTATATATCGAAATCGCCACGGAGAGAGGGTGGCTGATTCCAATACATTCTTGAGGAACTTGCCAACCAATTATTTTTAAAATCTGTACATTCGGGTCACAGTCGAGTTTTGATTTCGCTTCCGTAACCCTGATGAGTGATATTTGGCAGTGGGTGTTTAAGTGTTTTTTTGAAAACAGCACTAATTTGACCCCCTTGATTGGACACATGGTAGAGGAGTGGGGAGGAGGTGATGGATTTATGAAGGGTAAACTCTTAGTTCATTTATGGGGATACTTAATTTTCCCGCAACTCATGTGAGACAACATGCATAAAATAAAAGCAGTCGTTCTTTTATTAACCTACCTGTGTTTAATGTTTAAAAAAAAGCATTTCATAAGTGAGATTCCTTTAAACTCTCAAGTGCATAAATAACTGAAATAGACCTATTCCAGTATTTTCTATGTGTGCCATTGAACCTGCTAATAAGTTCTTTCTTTAAAATATGGGAGATACAATACAAAACAGTCTATACACTGTATATAGGTTCAGACACTTTTTATTTGGTGTTAAGTCTTTTTTTAAATGCACACGAGTTTTCAAGGACTCTTGAGCATGAGAACAAACATCTTTGCTTTTCATCTTTTTTTTCCTCTAGCTTTATTATATACCAAATCATGGGGCTTCATGTTAAATTGCTTTCTGATCAAACATTCATTAAGAAGTTAGCCTGACTTTGGTCTTGGAGTTATGATCAATGGAATAAAATAATGAGTGCTTCATGCTGAGAATTTTTGTTAAAAGTTTTTTTTAATAACACTGGACTAATTCAGAATCTTAAAACAAATGGAATCCTTTGAAGAATTAAAATCAAATGCTAGAAATCACAGTTTAGTAAAGTATCTGTGTACAGATTATACTGGTAGAAATTGGTAAGAAAAGAAGCAACAATTTTCTGCCAGTTTAGAGTAAGATCCTATGCATGGTAAGAAAGGGAAAAAAGATAAGTGCTGACTGGAATATTAGAAGCTGCAAGAATTTTTTTCTAAATATGCATAGGGTTGCTCCTTTAGTTATCTATACAGTGGGCTGTTTGACAGCTGTAAATTGTGAATTGAAATTTGCAAGCTTCTCCAAGGAGGGGTATGGGAAACAGGAGAGGATGGATGCCTGTTGGCATAAATAATTTTCCAATTTACAAAATTTAAGCAGATCTTAAAATAATATTAGGTAGTGGGCCCAATTTTAGTCTTTCAATCTAAGGTCACCAAATTTTTCTTTTTTGCATTAGCAAAGAAGATACAATCCTTGTGTCCTTTGATTGCTTGGAATTCAAACAGTCAATCAAAATCATGCCAAGCAAAAGACCTAAAGTATCTACAGCAGCCCATCACAAAGGCAATGAGCCCTTGGAAGAGCCCTCCAATGATGGGGAACCTGAAAAAGAAGCCAGTGTGCAGGCAACTAAAGTACCCCAACAAGGTCAGTCTCCTGTCACCTTAGATATTTGGCTTATAAACTTGGGCTGTGGAAGTGCCCTGCTTAAAGCCAAGATAAGTCCAGTTCTTTCTATTTACTGTGTGATGGTTTCTTTATTAGTTATAAACTTTGTGAGTGAAAATGGTGTTTAGAAGCAATATTTCAGATGAAGTTAATGTTCTTGTTCATGGTGTTTAGTCTTACATTATGCAAGAGCAGCAAACAATGATTTAAATAGATAAATTTTTGAGGTTGGGTGAGAGTAGCTTGTGACTTTGTTATTAAGCAGTAACTGCTTGTGTCTTAAAAATAAATTACTGCATATTATACTGGGAAATGCCTAAATTTAAAAGATGCAATAGCAGCGTAAAACATTTGTTTTCAACACTTTTATTGCTGAGTGATTTAATATCTTAAAAGTGATATCAAGCAATTATTCAAAGAAAGTGTGGCCTTAAGGAGTTAAAAAAAGTTCTATGGTTTGTTGAATTCTTAGTGGCCAGTTTTTTTGTGTGTGTGTGTGACAAACTTCCTGTCTTTGAGGAATAGTGCTGCTGCTGTCATTACAGCTTGTAGGGCATTGTGCTGCGATCTCCAGACCACCTCCTTTTACAGTGTACGTAAGCTCTGAGCATGCCTGAAAATGCAAGGGCTGTGGGAAGATATGCCTGTTTTCTTGGATTTGTTTGGATGAAATGTGATAGTGCTATTTATTGTAGTAGCATATTCCTTTAAAAACAGTTGGTCAAATGTGAGAATACAATTCTAATCATGGAATAAGTCAATTAGTAAATGGAAGTGGCATATTTTAAACTTAGTAATTCAGTCTATGGGTAGAAGTGTTTTGTCTTCTATAGTAGTGGTGGTATTAGAGGAAAGGAGGAGTCTTAGCTTCTATTTGCTTTTGTTCCATTGATTAGATACTTATAGATTTATGTAGTCATTAAGTGTGTTTGCTCTTCTGCTTGTTTTTGGATGTGTCTAGCAGTCTCAGATGGAGTAGTTGACAATCGAAGTTTAGAAGAGATTTTGAGTAGCATCTCTCCTCCCCCACCTCCAGCGATGACCAATGAAGCTGGAGCTCCTCGTCTCATGATAACTCACATTGTAAACCAGAACTTCAAATCTTATGCTGGGGAGCAAATTCTAGGACCGTTTCATAAGGTATCTTTCTATTTTAAGTGATTTTTGAGTTGAGGTAAGACTCTTCTGATTTTACTGCTTATAGTAGTAAACTGCATATTGCCAACTAACATGGGGTGGGGTTAAGATAAATGAAAGTCTGACTTACTATTGTCTGTACTTCTCTTTTTAAGTAATTTCTTTCTGCAGAGCTGAAGCAATTAGTAGACTAAACCTTTTTCTATTCTGCATCAATAATGATCAGAAGTTAAACTATAAAAATACACATAATTTGGAGTACTTAAGATACCTCTCGTGATGCTAAGTATAAATATGTTTCTTTGTAAAATTCTGATTACTGAATATAGTTCATTTTGTAGAGTTCCTAGGATAAATCTTTAGAAATTTGAACTAATAGGTGGTGTCTTTTAAAAGGTTGGGGTTTTTTATCCTTGGGTGTAAAAACTCAGCTTACCAGTACTTCACAGTTTCCTGCAGTAGGTGTAACTGTATTTTAAAACTTTCAACATAGCAATAGCTCTAATAGGTAGTAGCAATTCAACTGGAGTGGTTTCTTTCATTCTGTTATACAGCGTTTTTCATGCATTATTGGACCAAATGGCAGTGGAAAGTCTAATGTTATTGATTCTATGCTCTTTGTGTTTGGTTATCGAGCACAAAAAATAAGATCCAAAAAACTCTCTGTACTGATACATAATTCTGATGAACACAGTGATATCCAGAGTTGCACTGTAGAAGTTCATTTTCAAAAGATCATTGACAAGGTATGTTTTCTTTTGTTAATGTTGGGGGAGGTTGACCACTTAATAGCCTACAAGTAGTTATAATTGTATTGATTTACTAAAGGTAGAATTAATGCATTATGAGGAAAATGTTGACTCTTTCTAGTTGTTTATTTAAAATACAGAGGGCTAAAAGGAATTTGATATATTAAGTGTGTAATTTCTGCATTATAAGTAAATCTTAACTTAAAATGTAGTCTTGCCTGTTGGTATATATGACTTAACACACAGTAAAATGTATTCTGGTTTCACTATAAAATGAGTTTGAGCTCTACATATGCGTATTAGAAGCACTTCTGTAGAAATGAACAGGATTTTTTCTGGCTACTTGGAGGGGTGTGTAGGTAAATTATAAATGTGCTCTAAAAGACCTCCTAAAGTCATCATCCTTCCCTTCCAATATCAACATACAGTGTCCTAAAATAAAATTTTAAAAATAGTTTTGGTATGGTTTATTATAAATTACAAACCTTGAGACACTACTTAGCTGTTTAATTTTACATGATTTGCAGACTTGTTACCCCTCCTCTTACAAGGACCTGTGTTAAAATGGTTTAAGAACTTTGTACCATGGTAAAATGTTAAAATAACCCCTTGCCCGCCCACCCACAACACTGTTCAGAATTTAAACAAAAAACTTCAATAAAATATTACTGGACTAATAGTCCAATAAGAGATTGAGGGAAGCGGTTGCATTATTCTGTACACACCCTTGAGGAAACAGTTATGGTGGTTTGATCTCGTGCTCTTTTTAACTGGTGTATTTTTCAGAGCAAACAGTTAATATTTTTAATATATGCACACATACATATATAAAACAAACTTGAAAAGCTATATTACCCAAATTAATATATATCTATAACAGATAGTCAGATCCAATCATATAATCCTAAACTTCAGTTTTTAATATTAAGCTGTTTTTACATGAATTTCTCTATTTTTTCTGTGAATTTAATAGAACACATTAAGCTCATAGGGCATTAGGCCAGGGGAAAAATAATAACTATATTAAAATATTAATATGCACATTTCCTATTTTTAAGGAAAAGGACATGCATTTTGGGATATAGATCAAATTGTTGTATATGACTTCTTATAAATCTGCTTAAGCACAAGTTTCTAAATAACTGTAGTTTCAAGAAATTTTGAATTTATAAAGTAGCATCTCAGTTTTTTTCAGCTGGCTCTTTAATATTGTTAAGCACTGAGTATTCATATATTTAAGGGCTTCTCTGCACAAACTAGAAACAACCTTCCTGAACTGACAGGAAATTGTTCTGTAAGTTGACTGGAAGAAGATAGGAAAAAGGCTTCTGTTCTACAAGATGGTGGTAGGGCAGCAATCCTGTGTACAATTACATTGGAGTATCCCATTGAGCTTGGTGGGATTATTTGTTTGCATAAAAGCATAGATTGAGCTGCACATAAGTTGTTCAAACCTTGCTACTAAAATTTGGGAGAGGTTCTGTGTTTCTAAGACATTATCTGACAGCAAAAATGCTGGCATGACTAATAAGGTGCATATGTTACAGGATTTATTATAGGCTTCATGGTAGTGTGAACTAGGTTATAACAGATTTGTGAAAATAAAATAATTTAATTTTGAAATCTGGGGTAGACCTGTGGCTTAATGCTAACAATAGTTCTGGTTTTGTTTTTCCTTCAAACAGGAAGGGGATGATTATGAAGTCATTCCCAGCAGCAATTTCTGTGTCTCCAGAACGGCCTACAAAGATAATTCTTCAGTATACCATATTAGTGGGAAGAAAGCAACATTTAAAGATGTTGGGCTTTTGCTTCGAAGTCATGGGATTGACCTAGACCATAATAGGTTCTTGATTTTGCAGGTAATTTTTAAAGTAATATTTTGTTATTAAATATAACTTTTGTTATCAAATTTGTCTAGGTACTGTGGTTAGGCTTGTGTTCTGGAGGCTTTAAGGTACTCTAGCAGCACATCATGATTTGTATTTCATAGTAAATATTGCAAGTCATTATTTGCTGCTTCAGAATTTTAAGGAAGAGTATCAGTTGAAGAAGTTTCTGGTATGACACTTATTTCTGTATTGTTGATAGGCGAGTGAGTAGAACAGTTGTTATACTTGTCCCGCCCTAGCAGCACGTAAATATTGGTGTAGTAAAGATAATCTTAACCCCAATATTACTGTGCTGCTTAAGCGTGGCAGGGATTGAGCAACATTGTTGATCCTTTCTATTTTGTCACATGTAGTATTATTAATGGCTATACATTTCAGTGCAAAATGAACAATGATTGAAATGACAATTATCATGTTTTTGACACATCTTTCTTGCATCAAAATCATAAAGAAATCTGAAATATTAAAATGCCATTTTATTGTGTAAAGTTTTACAAATAGTTTACATTTGTTTTCACAAGAGCAGAAGGCAAAGTCTAAACTACTTGTTTATAACACTAAGTGTGATGACAGCTGAAATAAAGTTTAAAATGTAACAAAGCAATTCCCTGTCCTGAAAAGAATTGGTGTAATTTGGTATTTACTAATTTACACTTTTTGTTTTATGAAAGCTGAATCCCCTCACTAATCACCTGGGAAAGAATTGTGTTAAATCTGGCTTTTGTAGTTAACAGTGCTGAGTAGGAGTTCAGTTAAATGTATAAATATTGATCTCCTCAAAGTTCCTTCTGTAAACTATAAATGTCAAAAATAAAAAAATATGAAATAATTGTAAAGCAAGAAAAAATACTGACAATTTGGAATTTGTTTAGAAAATTAGGATGTTAAATCACAAGTAAATACTGAGGAGGTATAAAAGTTGCAACACAAAGAGCTATGTGGTAAGCGCCAGATATTCAGCCCTCTGTACAACCACAGTTGATCCTAAACTCAAAAGAATGTGAGGATGCCCTTTGACTTAGCAGGAGGAGTTACATGTTATGGACAAAAAACCTTTGGTGTGTGTAAAGCCCTTGCGTGTAACTAAGATGCTCTTTATATTACATTAGAGCCTATAGCTCTCCCTCCCAGTATTCTGGGTATACACTTATGAACTTAAAAGGGGCTGGACTCATTCAAGTATGAATACAAGTTTAGGCTTTTAGTATTTCACTACTTCTTCTACCAAAAGATCAAATTTTTAACTTTACTAGATTGCTAGAAATTACATTAGCTCTGTAATTAAATATAGGACAATTTTTGCAATGTGGTAGTTAGATATATAGCTGCAATTAACATATTCAGGCTTCCTTATTTTAATGCACTTGACTTTAAACATACTTATTCATTCAAATAATGCATTATGCTGACACTATGACTTCCGGTATTATCTGGAGGTGAAACGAGTTTCTGATTTCTCCACATTTTGTGATAACACTGAATAAGTGGCATAAACACCCAGACCTTACAAGATTAATAACTATAGCAAACTATGTAACTCCTGATTTACTGAACACCAGTTTTCAGAATGACTGATAAACATGCTAAAACACTATTTAAACACAAAATAAGTTACAACTTAAATGATATATAGTTACCATACGAATAGGTCCATGCTTTGTGAAGTTCTGGGATACGGTTTCCTTAAGTACCAACTTATAAAAGACTAATCGAGCAACTTGACAATCCCAGTATCTTAAGTGATGGAACTGGAAGGAACCTCCATGAAAGGAATTATTTTAATTGAAATACTAGTTATATTTGATTTGGTAGTTCAGATAGCATAACTGGTATTTTCAACCTTGCTGGTTTCTACAGTGTTTTTTCTTGTTTCTGTTTACCTGTTCTGTCTCAAAAAGATGGCATAGCTAAATGCAGCTCTGAACTACACTGAGTCTCTGAATCTTGCTGTATTACATATTTAGAACAGTTGGATGAAAGTGATTTGATTTTAAATGAAAGCAGTTACAGCTGCAATCTTATATACAGTTATCTGGAAATAAGTATCTTTGAACTCAGTGTGGTTTGCTTCTGAATCGACCTTTATAAGATTACACTGAAAATCAATAAAAAAAACTCCAAAACAAGAGGAAAAAAATGTTTTACTTGAGATGAGATGCTTTCTAAATACACAAACTACCTTACCTAGCTTAAAATAAGTTGGCTTAAAATGAGAGTTTTTATATTACCTAGGAGGTTCAGACTGTTATTTCTATAATATTTAATATCTCTACACTTACAGAAAAATATGTGGGTCTTATTTAACTTTTTACTTGGAATATTGTGCCAAACTGTATTCATTTAACTAGAAACTAGTGACATACAAAAGTATTAATTCTGTTTTTACTGCAAATGTTATATCCAATTAGCCATTCTGCTAATAGAATAGTTTCTGTCCCTGGAGTGGGAAGAAGAATTCCCGCTTGTAGCCTCCTGCATGCCCTTAAGATCTGCTTCAAAAAGTTGTTTAAACCCTATTGGGCAGCTTTGACCTCAGTGGAAAGGAGAGATGGGGGTAAGTCCCAATGTATGCAAAGACACCTGCTTGCACAATGTTTGATTTCACTTCATGTACTATTTTCTTCTAAAATGTACAGAGAAGTAGAGAAATGAAGCAAGAACATTTAATTTGAGGCTGAGTCCCAAGTTTCCAAAGGCATGAGTTGTACTTTTTTTTTTTTTTGGTTAAAAACTGTATTTTTTCTGTGAAATTAACGTTCACATTAAGTTTTGGGTAGAACCATAAAAAAGACTTGCCCTGTCATGCTGCAGAGTGGAATGACCTGATTTCGGCAGACCCAGTAGGATGGATAGGTGAAGGCTTTTACTGAAGCCTGAATTATACAGTAAGCCTGAATTCTACAGCAAGAGTGATGGTTTAGTGTGAGAATGAGTACTATTTGGCTTTGCATGGCAAAATTACTTGGACCAATATTGGACATGAACATTCATAATCCAAGAACAAAACAGGTAGCTGAATTTGACAGAAATCCAAAGACATCTGCATATATGCAGAGCTTTCACAATGCTTTGCAGTAGGTAAAGAGAATTTCCAACTTAGCCTTTTCACCTAATGAAATCTTCCTGTAGGGGAAGGGAAGTGACTTTACCTTGGAAATCATGCATGGCCCTTTGAATACCTGTCTGTAAATAGTGTGGTAAAAAATTAATATACAACCACACCCTGTGGGCTTAGTAGCTTGTCTTGTTAGGATGCAGCACCCTTGCCCAACCTGGTACCTTCCAGATACTTTGTCAACTCCCATGAGCCCCACCCTGCATGGCCAGCAGTCAGGAACACTGAGAGTTGTACTCTAAAACTTCTACAGGGGACCAGATCGGGGAAGGTTCAGGTGTATGATGACATATCTTGAAAGCCAAATCCTATATCATAGCAATTACTACATGCTTCTCTTTGGCTTCTAGCATCAGATTCATAATATTTGAACGCAATCTGGAGAGCCTGATCCAGAAGTAGAAAGGATTTCTATTTATGGGTGTGGGAGTATCACCACTTTTTCATTCACATTGCAACCCTTTGTGTTATAGTGAATCTGACTATGAAGTGTTCCTTCAACATTCAAGGGGGGTGCAAAGGCTATACAGAACATTGGGCCTGGAAGCATTCTTACTTACATGTAGCCTTTTGGATCTCAGCCAAAATATATGAAAGTTAATGTACAATATTTATAAAGCTTGAACCTAGACAACTTATTTTTTCACATGGCTTTTCTTCTGCAGGGGCATAACTATATCCCACCTTTTTTCCTTTCAGGGAACTCAAAGCAGCTTACATAATTCTCTCAGTCTTATCCTCACAACAATAACCCTGTGAGGTATGTTGGAGTGAGAGTCTGTTACTGGCCCAAAGTCAGTCCATGGCTGAGTGGGCAGTAGAACCCAAACCTCCTGAGTCTCAATCCTATACTCTTAACCACTGTGCCACATTGGCTCACATCTGATACTGGGTCATTTGATATGCAGAGTGTCAGGGGGTTCAGTTTTAATAGGCCATAATTGGGGTTTTAAAAACATTTTTATTTCATACTTTTTGCTAGCTTTTTTAAAAAAAGGAATTTCAAAACATTTCATTATCTTGATTTTTATTCATTCTGCTTCAAGTATTAATTTTAACATACAATTTGATTTGCAGTACCCTAGCTCAGATGAATAACAGACCTGTAAAGGGGGGGGGGGGCAGGCAGATAATTTGATTAATGCTTTGGTGTAATTTGGAATGTATGTTTCTTAATTTTTTTAGGTCTTACAACATTTAAAGCATCTGAAAATAGGAAGCTAGGAATTTAAAGTAGTTGTTGCCTGATGCAGCCAAATTATTTCACATTTCATTGTTGTTTTTCAGTCAGGCTTTTTATACTTTCTTCCATTGAAATCAATAGCAAAAGCATAACCTTAGACTAAATCAGGTCTAAAATTATTTGCTAAAGATCATTACACAATTTGTGTAACTTTAGCTGCTATGTATACTACTAAAACTAGTTGCATGTACTTCTGATCTATTGTGTTTTTAAAAAAGTAAGTACAAATTAGAAGCAGTCTTCTCCTTACCTGGAATAAGTCCCATTGAACTCAGTAGGGCTTAGTGCTGAGCAGACTTCTGTAGGATTGCAATGTTAATTTCTATGCTAGGTCAGTAAGTTTATTGATTCTTTTAGACTTAAACTATATTAAATAATAAATTCTATTTAACAAAATTGAGTTTTTATGCTGGTAAAAAGATAACATACAGAAGGATGCAGGTCTGGCTTCAGTCGATTTAAGTTTAGAGGACTGCATGTGATGAATTTTAGTTCCTGTGTATAAATGAAAGATGCTTTAAAATAAAATATTAACACTTTTCTGAAACCAAACCAGAAAGAAAAAAAATTGCTACAGTTGAGTAACTGAGTTTTCCTGAGAACAATTGAATA